CCGCGCCAGTCCCCCCGCCCCCTCGAGGAACACCCCCCCCCCCCCCCCAGCGGGCTCGGGCGGGAAACAAGCGCGTCGACCCGCGCGGCAGAAAGGGCCGCGCGAGAGCGCGCAGCAGGGCAGGGGCGGGGAGCAGCCAGGGGCGGCCCCGGGGAGGGCTGGTGACCCGAGGAAAAGTCGATTGCAGGACGCGCGCGCGCGCAGATTTCTCCCCCCCCTCGCCAGGTGCTTTCGGGGAACGGGGGCCCCCGGGAGGCCCCCACCCCGGCGAGGGGCGCCACACAGCCAGGACGACCAACCGGGGGGGTTACAGGGGGCGCAGCGGAAGGGGACACAACACGGGCCGCAAAGAACCCGGACGTCGGTACAGCCACGGCCCGAGTGTGTATCCCCGGGCGTCAGCCCGGCCCCGGACGCCGGCGACCGGACAAGGGCCGGGTCGACCCATGCGCAAGCTCCATGCAAGACCCGGGAGGCTGGCCCGGGGAGGGCCCGGGCACGAACAGGCATCACTTCTCCGCGCCGCGCGCCCCCTCCCCCCCCCCCCCCAGCCCCGGGAACGGCGCTGATGCACGGCCGCCCGGCTTCACACCTTTTACACCCGCATCGGCCACATCACATCCCTTCGGGGCGCGCGGGGAGCGCGGGGGGCGCGGGGCGGGGCGGGGGGGGAGGGGGGGCATCCTGCGCCGGGAAAAACCACCAGGGAGGGGCACCCCTTGCCGCCCGCCTCCGGCGGAGCCGGCTGCCGTCGGCGGTTGGCGCCCGTTCGCCCGGCCCTGCCCCCTCGGAGCGGACCGGGACAAAGAGCGACCACAGGGGGTGGCGGTGTGGGCTCGCCCCCCCCTTTTGCGCGGCTGGCGTTCTCAAGGGGGTGCCCTCCCGGCCCGGGGCAGGAGGCAGGGAGGGGCCGGGGAGGCACACCCGGGCCGGTAACTGACGTTCCCTAGATACTGCCTCGAGGGAGAGTAGCAGCCAGTGCCCGGGGGGCGGGGGCGGGGGGGGGGGGCTGAGCGGCATGAGGCGTGCCGCCACGGCCCCGACGGACCGGCAAAGTGAGCACCTCCTCCGGTGCGGACGGGCCCGTGTTTCACGCATCTGCGTGGCCCGGCTGGGAAGTGGCTCGCAGGGCTCCAGGGACGTGTGTCACCGCACCCCGACCGGGGGGTGTTTTTGCGGGGGATGCTCCAGGGAGCTGCGGACAGCCAGTAGGCTACGAGGAGGGGGGGGGCGCGTGACAAGG